TACAGCTTTGATGACTGTCATGTCTGGGGGCAGAGCGACGATTTGCGAGGAAGATAAAGCAACCTCTCGTTTCTTCTCAGGACACCCACAGGAAGCTTACGGCAAAAGTGACCTGGATGGTCTCCTGCAGGAAAGGCTCATTGACGTCTGTTTCCCAAGCGTAGGACGACTCAGAGCTGATGGCAAAAGAGCTCAGCTCTGGTCCAGCTATTCTGAAATGTGGAGTTCTAGAGGCTTCGCTGCTGTCCCCTGTAAACGAGGTGAGAAGCAGGTTCTGATTCTGGATTTAACCACTCTGGTGTTTTTCCTTTGCTTCCAGGAACCCATTTATTTAAGACTTCAATGTGTCTGAAGTGAATGGAAAACTCTTTTCAGCATAGATGTCAAGCTAACTTCGTAATAGAGTCACAAACCGAACAGTAGTTACCGGAATGCCTTTTGCCTGGCTTCGAAATTCTGTGGTCTGCTCACACAGAATGCAGCATGCAGTTCGAGGGGCGTGGGGTCTGGAAGATTTTCTTTGGAAGGAAAAGCAAAGCCTCCGGAGGCTTTCCAGAGCGAAGGCCACTGCCCCTCTGGAGAGAGGCTGGCCCAGGACAGCTGGCTCCGGCTGTGCCTGTGCGCTCTCCGGGGACTGGGGCGCTCTAGACCTTACAGGCCCATCAAAACGTGCAGCCACCCAAATCACTCAGATCTGGTCAGAGGAATTTTTTGGGAAATGATGAGGAAATTAGTTTCTTTAAACCTGAAGAAGTCCGAGGAAATTCTATAACGGCCTCCTGTTGAGCGACGCTGGGGTGGGGACCAGAAGATTCATTTCTCTTATGAGTAGAACCAGACCTAATGAGCTTAACACGTGCCACGCTGCCTCCTCATGGCCTCTGGGTGGGGTGAGAGCTGCGTCACAAAGTCTCCCTGAAAGCCAGAGAAAAGACTGGTGGGATCGTAGTCTTCAGAGAAATATTGCAATCATTTAATCTGACACTTTCATGTTCCACTTGCGGAAACTGAGGCCCGAGAGCAGAAAGGCACCTGGCCTGAAGGCAACAGCTGGTGAGAGGCAGAGGGGCCGGGACCACCAGGGTCTTCCCAGGCCGGTGCTGCCCTGCACGTCTCTAGAGCACCTGTGTCTCTGTGCGACTGGGGCCGTGCACAGCATTTGCATCTCCTGCCTCGCTTGAGTGGCTCCCCGAGTCAGCAGGACGGATTCTGATCTGTCGTTGTTTTACAGGAGAGGAAAGGGATCTCCGAGAAGATAAACCACCGGCCCAAGGTTGCATTGCTGCTGAGCGGTAGAATTAGACCTATACCATGTGTTTTTTATTCTTACTTCCATGCCTTTCCACAACATGGGGAATCTTGACTCCTAAGCCCCGGGGTGCTGTAGGGACAGTTGGGGGTGTGGAAGCAGGGGTCTTCTGGCAAGCCTCGTGGACGCTTAGGCAGCGGGGATGGACGGTGTCCTCTAAAGCCACCGAGGCTGCCCCAGGAGACAGGAGACAAAGGCAGGTCGCGGATAGATGCCAGTGGCTGAGCGTCCCCTCCCGCAGGTCGCTGTCTTCAGGGTCCCGGCTGGGCGTCGTGCTGGAGCATAAGCGCGGGACACAGCCGGGCCATCTGCTCGTTCTTACACGCAGGTGTTTTCTCCTGGGTGTTGCTCTGTCTCTCTCTTACAATTTATGCTTTGCCACTTTGCTTTGGGTTCTCAAATACTGTCGCATTCATCTGCATGTGTTCCCCTCTCCCCACCTTCCAGTCCCCAGAAAAATGAGCACCGTGTTAGTTCTCAGAAATGTCGTCTCCTGGAACCAAGGAATTCCTACAGGGAGCGTGGTTCTTGAAGAAGCCATCGCAGCAGGGGATCAATGTGCCCTATACCGAGAGACCTCCTGTATCATGGCGGGTGGGCTTTCTACCCTGCCCAGTGGGTGTTGTTGCAGACAGACAGGGAGATACAGAGAGAGAGACAGATAGATACACAGAGAGACAGAGAGACAGGAAGAGAGGGAGAGACAGAGACAGGGAGAGGGAGACAGAGATAGAAAGAGGGAGAGACAGGGACGGAGAAGAGTGTGGTGGGCAGGTCAGAGCGGAGACGTGGGCTCAGCGTTGTAATCAGCGCCTTGGAGTTTCTGAACCACAGGGAAGGAGCTTTTTGGTTGGGCCCGTCCTCATTCCTACAACTGTAAGTAGCTGATCAGCCTGTGGCTTCCACCCAGTGGCTTTTGTCCCCTCCATAGGCCTGCTTCAAGTGTCCTGTGTCACAGAGTACTGGGACGACAAGTGGATTTTAAAACCATTTAGTGCAACTGGCGCTTGTGATCCCCCCTACAGCGGATGCTGTGAAATCCACTCGGATCATCAGAACCACTTTCTGGAAGTAATAAGGCCTCCCAAAGTGCTGGGGGAGGCATTCAGAGTAACCGAAAGCTTCTGCTCAGAGAGGTGCTTGTTCTCCTAACTCTGTGGGAAACAAGGTGGCATTGCAACTGTCTGCAGGAAGGGCCGCAGCCCCCCTGCCAGATCCAGGCCAGCTCCTGCGACAGATGGCAGAATGACGTCCTCAGCACCGCGGGACCCATCGGGTGGGCTGTAGTGAGGCCGCGGCCCTGGGCTCGTGGGGTTCTCTGTCCATCGGAGGCAATATGGGGGCGTCCACACCACCTGTCCCGGTGGCTGCTTGGCCTGTTATTCTGACTTACTCTTGGTTTCTCCTTCATTTAATAGGTGTAGAAACACCTACACAACCATCTAATACTTCTCTATGTTTTAATATTCTCCTAGTGCAAGGTTATCTGGGTCCAATTTGGACCAGGATGGGGAATCCATAAACTGAACGAATAATAGATGCAGAGGACACGGGCGGTGTTTCTCAGCCCCCTACAACGTGTCCCTGGAGGTCAGAACTCCAGCAGCCACGCAGAGATGGCACCATGCAGAGCATTTATTTACTTTTGGCCAGGTTTTTTTTTTAAATGTATGCACAAAAATCGTCTGGGATGAAGATGTGAAAAAACAGGAGAGCTGGGTTTCCTCTGCTCAATAATTTTTTAAGAGAAAAATCAAACATTCTGTGGAAAGTCTTTTACTATCATCTTATGCCAAAGCCCTGGCCTCTCAGCTCCCAGCTGTGCCCTGGGTCGCGGGGGTCTGGCAGAGCCTTCATCTCACTGTGGACAGGGCAGTGCGTCCTAGGGACAAGGGACAGCAGGGCTGGGGACAGCAGGGCAGGAGGCATCGATGTCATTTTGGGTCACTGTGCCCTTCTCTGCTGTACCGCCTATGCCCCTGCATCCGCTGTGGCAGAATTAAACCCCCCTTCTCACGCAGTACTGCCACTCCCGACCTGGAACCAGCAGGGTCGGCATCCCCTGGGTGGGAGTTACCCCCAGCCTCCTCTGTGTTCCAGGGCAGCCCAGGTGGCTGCAGGCTCCCACGTGTCCCAGGGAGATGAGGGACGGGGTGCCTCAGACACTACCTGGGGTGTGGTGTGTTTTAGAAAAGCAGTCACTGGGAGAGCCCCTGGAAATCAGTCGCAGCGACACAACTGAAGCAGGATTCAAGGGGGAGGCGAGCTCTCCGCTGGGAAAGTAAGTCCTCCCCGAACTGCAGCCTGCAGGTCCCCACCCGTGCCCATGTCCGGTGATGGCATGGGGCCCTCGTCCTGTCCCCAAGGCTGTCCTGCCACCAGCCCGCATTCGGTGCTTGGCTCCCCATCGCCACGGCGCCCCGTCCTCCCGCTCTTTCCTGTCCCCAGCCTGAGACTGCTTGGTGACAGGTGACAGCGTCCGTCTCTCAGCGAGGCGCGTCGGTATTACGCTCTGGCTAGTCGGGTACTCGAGCCCGGGGTTTCCAGCTTTTACATTTTTCCAGGTTAGAGAAGCCGGGTGCACGCGCCTGGCAGCGTGACTGATGGACACGGTGTGCGCGCGACCAGTCTGGGCACTTAAGTGCGAGCTCGAGGATGCGCCCCACCCTCTCGCCGCCTTCGTCTTCGCAGTGGCCCTGCGGCCCAGAGCCCACCGGGCCTCCACCCCAAGGAGCCCGAGGGACCAGCATCCCAGAGGCACCTGTCATGGCGGAACTTAATTCAACTAATGTGCAGGGAGTGGCAGATGTCCGTCAGGCACTGCTCCTCAAAGCAGGCTCGAGCTCAGGGTGCGAGTGACCACTGCCCAGGCCAGCCCTCCTGGACCAGCGCCCCTCCACGCCGTAGGATGTCACTCGTGCTGCCCCACAGGTCTCGGCAAAAGGAGGCAGACTCTGTGACCAGGGCTTATTCCATGGCCTTTTCCATGATGCTGACCTGGCAGCCATGCCCTTGGTCCCGCTGACCCAATAAGGGTCCCCACCAAGGATCCCAGGGCAGGGTGCCGCATCCCACCACAGTTTTCTCTCTTCCCCTCTGCCACTTTCCCTCAGGGCTGGCCCCTCACTTTGCTGGGAGGACCACAGTGGTCCTCAGGAGCCAGCCCTGGGGACGCGACCTGTGCCGATGGTGCCCGTTGAGCCAAGAGCCCAGGCAGGGACACTTAACACACGCCCTGAGAGGGGGGATGTCCGCTCACGTCTTACCTTGTACATGTTGCAGAGCCCAGGCTGGCTGCGCACATAAGAGGGCAGAGGGCTCCTGCTCTGCTTTAGCCAGGGTACCTGCCAGAGGACACAGAGCGGGTGGCGTGAGTCCGTGTGGGCGCGAGCGGAGCCCCAGGTCCTGAGTGAATCTCCTCTAGGTTGGGCTTGGCCAGACCCCAGACGGTGAGGGGTGAGAAGGGAGAGGAAGGATTAAAGGGAGACCGGTCAGCAGAGAGGGCATGAAGACGGATGGATGGACTGGCCAGAGGCTTGGGAAGAGAGAGGAGACAGGCTGGGCTCAGAGGACCCAGGGCAGGATGCATGCCCAGAAATAAAGGAGCAAAAGGAAAGATTTAGGGAAAAACTTCTGTCCTCTAGTCTGTTCTGGGGCCCATTCTCAAATGATGTGACCAAGTTTTCTTGATATTGCAGCAGGCCCCAGACATGGAAGATTTCTAAGACAGCAGGTGAAGAAAGCATTTTCTAGTCTGGTGCAAAGGGCTTTTTGCATTCTATAATGGAATGGATAGATTTTATGATCAACTTTATTTGTAGAGTTTTATTTACTTTTATTATGAGTGTGGTGGCCTCTGCTTCGGATTTACAAGTAGAAATCATTCCTGCTCTGTGGGGCTTAACCGTGGATAGGCCTTTTCAAGTTTTCTACAGAGCATAAGGAAATAATTTCAGGGGCAAATCTCTTTGGCCAGTCACTTGGAGTTACTTTTCATTGCTTGCATTCTTCCATGTTATTGAAGCTCAGGAATTTAATATAAGTAGGAACTTAATATTCCTTGATATTAAATATACTAAGCTTAATTCTATTGTTATAAATCTTCCTAAATAGTATTGCTCCTAATTTAGTGTATTTTCCTTATTTTATTCGTTATGAAAGAGCATCAACATTTGAGTGATGAGATTGAAAGTCTATTATTACAGGACCAAAGTAAATGGCCTGCAGGAAGTGTCTATTTTTTTTTTTTTTTTGTCTTTTTTCGTGTCTGGCAACAGATCGCAACCCTCAGTGTCGCGCCCGTACCGGACCGGGACCAGCAACGGGATCGCA